TGTTTAAAAACCTTCACCCTTTTCTTCCCTGATGTTTCTATGCCCCTTGTATCCCATTCCCTTTTATCTCAGTGTAGCTAAAAACTAGAAAGTGATCTGATATATCTGTGGCCCCTCTATAAACATGTACACCCTGAAGTCTACTCAACAGTCTTTTATCTACCAATACATAATCAACAAACTACTGTCATTTCGCCCTACATCATATCTTGTATACTTATTTATCTCTTTTCTTAAATATGTATTACCTATAACTAAACCCCTTTCTATACAAAGTTCAATCAAAGGGCTCCCATTATCATTTACACCTGGCACCCCAAACTTACCTACCACACCCTCTCTAAAATTTTCTCCTACTTTAGCATTCAGGTTCCCTACCACAATTACTCTCACTTGGTTCAAAGTCTCCTATACATTCACTTAACATCTCCCAAAATCTCTCTCTCTCCTCTGCATTCCTCTCTTCTCCAGGTGCATACACGCTTATTATGACCCACTTCTCGCATCCAACCTTTACTTTAATCCACATAATTCTTGAGTTTACACATTCATATTCTCTTTTCTCCTTCCATAACTGATCATTTAACATTACTGCTCCCCCTTCCTTTGCTCTAACTCTCTCAGATACTCCAGATTTAATCCCATTTATTTCCCCCCACTGAAACTCTCCTACCCCTTCAGCTTTGTTTCGCTTAGGGCCAGGACATCCAACTTCTTTTCATTTCATAACATCAGCAATCATCTGTTTCTTGTCATCCGCACTACATCCACGCACATTTAAGCATCCCAGTTTTATAAAGTTTTTCTTCTTCTCTTTTTTAGTAAATGTCTACAGGAGAAGGGGTTACTAGCCCATTGCTCCCGGCATTTTTAGTCGCCTCATACGACACGCATGGCTTACGGAGGAAAGATTCTTTTCCACTTCCCCATGGGACAATAGAAGAAATAAAGAAGAACAAGAGCTCTTTAGAAAAAGGAGAAAAACCTAGATGTATGTATATATATATGCATGTGCGTGTCTGTGAAGTGTGACCAAAGTGTAAGTAGGAGTAGCAAGATATCCCTGTTATCTAGCGTGTTTATGAGACAGAAAAAGAAACCAGCAATCCTACCATCATGCAAAACAGTTACAGGTTTTTGTTTCACAGTCATCTGGCAGGACGGTAGTACTTCCCTGGGTGGTTGCTGTCTACCAACCTACTACCTTTATATTCGTTCTAAAAGTTATTATATTATCAGTCGTGAATGTTGTCAGTTCATTTTAACGTCTTACTGGACAGTGTGGTACAACCTTGGCCAAAATTTTCTTTTTCTGACTTTAGCTTTGACATTTGCTCACTTCTCGCAGTCGTATTCACTTTTCGTATATTTAATAACTTCTTGGAGAGCAGAGTGGGCGTGTAATTTTCTTTTCTTACTAAACATTTCAGTGTAAATCTTGTGGTAATGTTTTCATAAAAATGACAACTTAAGCGCCAAACCAACAATGTTTTCATCGTTTTTCTGGAGTATCTTTACAATGCTCTTTTAAACGCAGTGATGACGTACCTAGTATTGCTGGCTGATAACGCAAGAAGTCAAACTTTCCCCGAATCTTGATATTTACTGGTGATTTATTTACTCCAAAATCACATTTTTATGCGTGCGAATTCACAATTTGTAATTATGCAAACAAAATTGATAAACATTTCTAATATTAACTTGGTTATCATTTTTTCCCAATCTAGTAATGATATTTTTTGTGTGCAGGAGAGGCCAGGACAACCTCTAGTAGTGAGCACATTATGGGGTTGGTCATGCACTAGTACTGACTGTGTGATGAAGGACGTCCTCCTACCTGACCTCAGTCTGGGTGACTGGCTGGTGTGGTCCAGGCGGGGCGCCTACAGTCTCTGTTACTTCTCGTCTTTCAATGGACTTCCACTCCCTGAAGTGTATATTCTCGCAACTCCTGACACTGTGTAAGTCTGTGACGTTACTTTAAGTCACTATTGGCTTTGTATTACTGCTTTAATCAAATATTAGTGCTTTAAAAAAAATACCCGAAAAGTAGCGTTTTAATGGAACTTTATTCACTCGAATGCATTACCAGATTACCCAACTAGACTTTCAACTCCTTTTGGCCTCACCAAAAATAACACATTACATTCATTCCTTTAAAATGCCGTAATCTATTTACCCATTATTGTTACTAGTGGAAAACTTTCATTTTAGCAAGTATCTGAAGGCATACGAGAACGAACTAGATGGTAACTCCACTTCATACTAAGAACTTAAGTGCTGTTCACTTGGCTGAGACAACCAGATGATGGTATCACAACTGTTGGACAACTTATCTACTGTATGACCCCTGCGTTGAACCCTTTTCACTGGTCTGTGTGGCTCACTAGAAGGTCATCCAGGACACTGTTGAATGGTTATCAGTGGTGAGCAGAAAATATTGTCCAGAGCCAACTGTGACCTCCCTCAAGAACCCATCCAGGTCCACTGAGCACTGCTTCACTGTGTCGTCCATTGGTGACTAATATTAATTATCCAGAAAACATTTTGAGTGTAAATCGTGAAACGGAGTTATGTTTAGATATTTTTCCTAGTATAGAAAAACCCTCTACCCAGTGAATTGCTCTAAATCATCAAGAAGTGGGAGAGGAAATCGTGGCGCTTGTTTCATTTAATGCTCTTAAACCGATAACAGTACAGATACGACTATTTTTTCTGAGTGTTGAAATGTTAGGGGAATATATTCCATTGCTTTGTCTTGAATAATATATATATTAATTGTAACCTATGATGTGATGAACGTGGAATGTATGTAATGTAAACACGTAAATAAATTGTGTATCTGGATCTAAACTTGTAATCTGAATTGCATACTCCTGACCCCTCACTGGTCTCTGATCTTCGCAGATTTCACCTTTAGCACATTCAGCTCTGCAACGTTGTATGACTTGTGGGTTTAATGTTTTGAATGTAAGAATAATAACAATAAAACTGAATTAAAGTATTTGAAAATTTATTTTTTGATAATGTTGCAGGTAGATATGTTCAGTGTATTTCATTCTCATTTTTTTATATCTAAATTGAAAATCTTTAAATTACATTAATGTTATACACTAATTACTGACACAGCAGTATCATGGAATCTTGGTAGAAGGGACTTCCTCTTCGTTAATATTGTCCCGCACTGACTTAACTTATGGTCATGTCCTACTTTAACTAGTGAGTTTCACCCACCTGTGACGCAGTCTTCAACTGCTGCAACTTTTGTTTACATTATTCAAGTCTCCATCCTCATGCCTCTGCTTTAGCTAGATCAAGACTAAAGAACTGAAGGCTAAGAGACTGAACTCTTTGTCACTGTTAATGACTGAACACTTTCTATCTTTCTTTCGTTGTCTCCAGTATAATAGTAGCTACTGTATACATAAAACTGAAAATGTCTGGTGAACAGTCGAAACATCTAGCCAGTAAAGATACCCAGGGGTTGGAATTGTGTCTAATTCATCCAAATAGTTTCGTCTTTACAGACATCTTAATCTGCTCTGCTGTGTATGATGTGCCGATATATATATATATATATATATATATATATATATATATATATATATATATATATATATATATATATATATATATATATATATATATATAAAACACATCGGCCGATTCCCAACAAGGCAGGGTGGCCCGAAAAAGAAAAACTTTCATCATTCACTCCATCACTGTCTTGCCAGAGGGGTGCTCTACACACATATATATATATATATATATATATATATATATATATATATATATATATATATATATATATATATATATAAATGTGTCGTCACCTGAACAGTCTGCGAGTTGTCACTGAACGTGGCAGATACATTTCAGTTTAGAAAAAGACACTTGTGTACAGTTGAGGACATTTATTACAGGAAGCCACTAGTGCCGAAACTTTTTTTTCCCCCCACGTCTTGTCAGTATCATGATGCCACTTACTTTTGCGTTTCAATTGTTCTGATTTTTGTTTTGTTGGGTCACATGTCATATAAAAGTGTGGCATGTCAGGTAAAGGAAAATTTGGCAACATAGCTTATAATCCTCACAAATTTTATGCATAAATTAATCTAATTCACATAATCCAGGAATTATATTTAAATTGCAATCAGTAATATTCTTTTATAAAGCATGATTCTGTTTCATTTATCCGTTGATTTGCTTGTTACAACTGTCTCAGTTTTTTAATATCATTGTGGTGGTGGTTAAAGATCTATCGTATGAATAAACAGAGCATTAGGCTCTTGTCTAGTTCTGACGCTGTATTTATGTTGCTGTAATCTTAGTTAGCACTTATTCCAGCAGAGACTAAATCCCCAATAACAAGCCGAAACAGAAATACCTTAGACTTAAAGACACGAAATAACTGTGTGGAAAGAGAGAGAGAGAGAGAGAGAGAGAGAGAGAGAGAGAGAGAGAGAGAGAGGGAGAGAGAGAGAGAGAGAGAGAGAGAGAGAAAGCGAGAGAAAGCGAGAGAAAGCGAGAGAAAGCGAGAGAAAGCTAGAGAAAGCGAGAGAAAGCGAGAGAAAGCGAGAGAAAGCTAGAGAAAGCGAGAGAAAGAGAGAGAGAGCTGGAGAAGAGTGGCCATTTCTGAGTGACTATAACTACTCAAACTTCACCACCGTTTTAAAGTGGTCCAGGAACAGGGAGGGATGGGGTAGAATTTAAGCAAATGCTGCAGATAAAGTTGAATAAACAAGAGTGGTGGAACCAACTGCCTTACGCAAACACTGCAGTCATAAGGAGAAACCATCTCATCCAATCGCATTTGCTACCAATAAACGTTAATACGTATTTATTTATTCTATGTGCACTGGCTATTATAACCTTGTTCTTCATCAGGTATCTGGTGTATACCTTAATTAATATTCATAAACTGCACACGGATGGTTCAGCATCCAATAAGAACATCCTTCACTGATGGGGAGAAGCAGAGATGCTGATCAGCGGTTCTTGTTCCGGGAATTATATCTGTCTTTCCCCTCCCCATAATATACATGATTAACCCCCATCCAAACCTCTTTTATTCTCCAGGGGATGTATGACTCTTGGAAGTTTACCGCACATAGGAGAGAGGAGCTTACGACGACGTTTCGGTCCGACTTGGACCATTTACAAAGTCACATTAACAGAAAGGATATGTTCATGTTGTAGGTTCGCCGGTACTGCCCAGAAAGAAGAGAAGGAGGCAGTATATATAGGCCAGCAGACAGGGACGGGAAAGAGAGGTCCGAAACGATGACGTTTCGAACCGAAAAGTCGTTGTTTCAGACCGAAACGTCGTCGTAAGCTCCCCTCTCCTATGTGAGAGTTATTTGTGTATTTTTCCAGTCACGGTATTGTGACCGTTTATTTACTAGACTATACTTGGTTGTTACAAGGGGAATGTATGCAAGTGCACAGTAACTTATCCGACGTAACTGTATGCGACTTCCATACACCTTTTTCTGCGGTAAACAGAAATTTTTTTTTATATTTTATTTAAAACATAATACATAGCTTAACATAAAACCCCTTAAACAAGGGTGATATACATTTAATATAAATACATTATGTATCACAATCCCTCAGGCCGTACAATAGCAAAATAACAAACACAATATTAACAGACACAAAGTGGTTACACAAATACACTAGAAAATATCGCTTATGACAGAACATAACATTAAGAAAGATGGGTAATCTTAATCCTATTTACACAAGAACAACAATAATGACATAACATGTAGGTGACCCCTGTAACAGGGTCAATAATATAGTGTAAAAAAAAAAAAAACAACACACAATTAAAGCCATATTCCCTTCAGGTATACACTATTTACATAATATTACTGTGTCATATTGTCAATGCACAATACAATAAGAAGAATATTACGACAAATATATCGGTTACTCACAACCTGCACAAATAATCAATAAATGAAAGGACCTACATCACAATCTCATGATAAAACAAAGTACATACTCTTACTGAACTAACCCCCAGTACATAAGTTCCCTACAGTCACACATACTCGCCTTACCACAAGTCTTACGAGTCAGCCACAGAACTAGAAATGCCATAAGCATTCCGCACTCATCCACAGGCTATACACACCATATAATATAGCAATAAAATGCTCAGTACAAAAACATAAAACCCCGTGTGCCAGGGCAAAGCCTAAAGGTAAATCAAGTACTTCAACAAAAAAAAAGAAGGCAGTAGACTCTGACATAAGACAGCTATAACACATTATATAACTGCACCACCACATCCTCTCACACAACCACATTTACCACAACACACATTACACAGATACACACAGCAACACAGCCCTTGTGCATACCCAACCTCGGAGACGAGCCCGTTCCATCCCCTGAACTTCAACCCCCTCCCCCCCGTTCACAACACTAACACTGCTCTCACACTCATACTACGATACCCTGCTGAAAAAGCCTGGTCCCAGCGACTTCCATTTATTTCCCGATTACAACACAACGTTCTATAAATGGTCGCCGCCAACACCCTTTTGCGCATCTCCCAATCCCCATTCCCCCTCATCGCCCAGGATACAAAAACAAAATCCGCAATTATTTACATGATTGCACGTTGCACAGGCGCTCTTATGCCTCCCACGTCCAAACTTAACGCCCTCAATACTGATATCCCGCCTCCTCCCACTGTCCTCAGAATCTTACCCATCCATTCCCTGATACTCCCTAAATTATCACAAAAATACAATACATGAAACGCCGTCTCCTCATCCCCGCACACCCGACACGCGCCCTCCACCATCAACCCTCTTTCCTTAAGTGCAGCACCCGACGGCAGTATACCATGGAGAAAACGGAAAAATACCTCTCGCACATTTGGTCGCACGCGCGTCAACCGTAACCTCTCCCATCATATATCCTCCCACGCATACATAGGGTAGATACCCTCAACCTTCGTGACTACCTTCGCCCCTACAGCACGCTCTAAAATACCCACCCGAACTTTATTAGGGTCCTGTAGATGCAGCAACGCCCGCAACACGTCTTCACACATCCTCATCTCCGACCCTCCCCACCACATTCGCACCTCTTCATATAAGTCATTCACGCCCCTCCCCGCTTGTCCCCGCACACGGCGTAACCCCCACTTTAAATAAATACACTTGACTCTTAACCGTAAATCAATCAACCCCAATCCTCCTCTGTTGACCGGTAGGGTAACCACACTACTACTCAACCATTCACACCCGGAACCCCAAAGAAAATGGAGAAGACTCCTTAACAGCCTCGTAACATCTGGACCTGCTAACGGATATACTGCTGCCACGTGCCAGACTTTACTGTGTAACAACACATTCACAACAATCGCATGCTGATGTACTGTCAAATGAGTTGGTCTCAACCCATCCAAGCACCCCACCACTCGATCCACAACAAGTCCAGAATTTGTAGATGAATGGTTCAGAGAACCGACATATTGATAAATTAGACACATGTGCAACTCTTGGGTATCTTTATTGAGGAAACGTTTCGCCACACAGTGGCTTCATCAGTCCATACATAGGAGAAACTTGAAGAACAGAAGGAGAATGAGGTAATCAGTCCCTCAACCTTGAGTCGATGTGTTCAGTCCATCAATCTTAAGTAGAATACGGCGGATGAGCGGAGAAGCAGCTTATAAACCGTATGGCAGGAGAGGTGTAGCAGTCAAGGTATTGTCACATTTGTTCAATGTGGAAGTAGGTTGTGCCCAAGAATTAGGCAAGCGAAGAATTCCTAAGTATTAAGATCCCAATTCATCTACAAACCTGTCAGACACTGCAACTTCTTGGGAT